GGGAAATGCTTAAATGAAAATCTAATTTTCAATTTTTTCTAGAAAGTTTGCCAATTTCAGAATTTTTAGGAAGCTATTACTCTAAAAGTCACAGGACAAGAAAACACTTCCAATGAGGTCATTTTTCTCATGCAATCGGTGATTCCAAATGTGAGTTTCTCAGTATGGAGTGGAATATTTTATACTCATGAAAATATAAAATAGCAACAGAATTCATAGTCAAAATTTCTAAGATGCAATTATTTATACACTTTATTGAATTTCTTATACTAATGTGATTACTTGAGATTGAAAGTGCCCCTTTAGCAACCAAAATTGCTGAAACTTTACAAATAATTATAAATTATTCATACTGAAATAACAAGATTTCTGAACAATAAAGCCTTTATAAGGAAACTTATGAGGAAGATATTAACTGGAAGATTTCTTCTGTTATAGTTCCTGGCAACTCTAGTGATTACCTTCTGTACCAGAACTCTACAAGTATATATTTGTGTGCTAGATAATTAAGACTAAAGTTCATCATAGCAGTATAATTTGTATACTGTCCATGCCTCAACATTGTATTATATTGTGTATTATTTAAAACAAAAGTCAACAATTTTTTCCTACAAAGGTCCAGTTAGAAAATATTATTATATAGGTCCTTATATAAGAGAGAAATCAATTTTAAGAAAATTTTATTGATAAATTTCAAAGCATAATAATAACTGAGTATGAATTTTTGCCATATATGTGAAAAGAATAGATGACTGAAATTTGAATTTTACATAATTCTTTTTTGCCACAAATAATTCTCCTTTAAACTTTTTCTAACATTTACAAATGTAAAAACCATTCTTAGCTCACAGTCTATATACACCAAGCAGTGGGTCTGATTTGTCCCATGGACCATATTTTACCAACCTTTGAGCTAAATATTACATTATCTTACAACTGATGTTCTATTAATTTGTTTTCACTCACGAGTTAAATTAACTCAATCTTGATGTAGAGATTCACTCCCATTAAGGAATTATTTCTATGTGATACATCTAAAATTAATTTTAGAAGACATTAAAATGTTTATTACTTAGCATAAACACTAGATATGTGAAAGTCATGTTTGATCCCCATGTTAGCCATGAGCCGTAGCAAACACATAGCTAGAAGCTGTTCCTATGAAAATGACTGAGGATGCAGGCACTCAGGAGTGGGAAGAATGCACCCAAATCATGCTCTTCATGAAAATCACTATTGCTATTAGAAAAGTAAGTCAACATGTATGCTCACCTTTATGTCTACAGCCCAGCTACTTATGCATGCATCGTATAATTATATTTTATCAGTACTTTACTGTTATATTCTAGTTCTTTCTTGCTCTGGATAGGAATTTGGGGGAAGAGGAGGAAAGAAGCAGCTTCAGAAAGAATTACAAGATTGCGTTTTAATAATTTGAGGATCTGTCCAGGTGCACTCCAGAGTCCACAGGAATGATCCTCTACTCAAGCAATCACCTTTATCTATCGCTGATTTTAACATATTCTTTAGTATTTCCTTCAGGGTAGGTATCAGGTATAGTCTTTATAGCAGTTAGAGAAAAGAGAGAATGCAGGGAGAAATTAACTTCTAATTAAGTCATTCACAGGCTACTTGGTGAACAGTAAGGCTCAGTATACCTGAAGCCAGAGAGCCTCCATTACATAATCTGTAAGAATAAAAATGAAAGCAAAACGACTAGTTACCTTACTACTTACAACTGTTCCTTCTTCTGTGGCAAGTCATCCCACCCCCAACAACAACTCCATGGTCAGAAAGAAACTCTGGGTTCATAAGAACAATTACAAAATAAAGAGATGACTCCCTTCTCAGGGCATGTCTCTTAGTAGCAAGTGACGACACCAACAGCCTGTGCAACTTCTCCAAGACCAAGCCCTTCTACCGGAACCTGACTCTATTTTCATGAAAGGGACCCAATAATAACAAACTCATCCTGACCAAACAAAGAGGAAAGACCTGGGGCTGAGTCACTACTTTTGTAAAGTCAAAGAGGGCCCTCGTAGGCAAAGAATGTGGTCCTTTCAACATATGTTATCCTTTGACAGAGAGGAGTAAGCAGAAACACCAAAAATGGAAGCACATGGGTCTGGTGGTTTCATGTATTTGTATACACATGAACATATGAACATGAAAAGGGTGGGGCAAGAGTAGGTTTACAGTTGTTTTCACGGACATTATTACGATAATTAATAAATAATAATGCAAGAATAAATTCTGTTTCGCATACTCACAACTGTAAACATACTTTTGCCCACCCCTGTACATATACATGAACATGTATGTGTGTGTATGTGTGTTTGTTTGCATAGAATCCTTCTAATGTGGTTTCCTGTTGATTACTCAGATCAACCAACATTCAAATTGTAATTTGGGTTGAAAATATCTTCAACTGACTGTATGTATGGTTTAATTGGATGGCGTGAATAAATGTATTCACACATCCACAACTGATCTCTTGGCTCACAGAGTCCTGTCCCATGAAAGCTGTCACATGCAGCCTTGGGCTCACTGGGATAACAGACCTGCTCCTGGTGAACCCGATGTAAATAAAGGGCGAAGGCCTTTGTTATTCACCTGAAAGCCTGACCTTTCATTTTCTTTATTTACATGCAGTTCTCTCTGCTTTAATGTTGGTATTCAAGATTGATTCGTGTTTTAATATAATGCCTAGTTCAGAATGATTTTTATTGAAGTTATTGTGTAACACTTTAAAAAATGCTATGCTGGTTGATGGTCACTTGTCCATACAATGAATCCCAATCTTGCTGGTAAACATGTATGTTTGTTCTTCCAAGAAGGATAAAACATATGAAGTACCATGGTAATAAGTAGACTTTGTTTCCTTCCTTTCAAAAAAAAAACTTACTAAATATTTTAAGATAAAATAAAAATTGGGAAATAATTTTTTATTTTTATACACTGCTGCACATCACACTGCCAATGTGATATTAAAAAGAAATTACTAAATGCAACTTTAATTATCTGAAGTCATTTAATTGTATTTTTGACACTTTAAGAACTTCAACTCAACATATGGTAACCAAGAACTCCAACTTACATATTTAATACTCCTAACAATTTAAAATTTTATAGGTTCCTTAAGTTTATCAAATGTTTGGAAGAACATTAAAATACTTCCTGAACAAACCAAGGCTGGTAGAATACAGACCCAGGATTCAAATTTTAAGTGTCAGAGACAGACTCAGCCAAAGCTAAGCACCCATAAATATCTGCTCTCCTCAGACCTCAGCCACTCATCTTTCCTGTTCTAAGAAGAAATATTTCAAAAGAAAGCTATTTAATGTTGACCTGCCTTTCATTAGACCTCAAGAAAACAAACAAATGTAAACAACTAGGAGACCAATCAATCGCATCAATATGTTTTAAACCTAAATACGGGTGGTACATTGAAAAGACACGACTGCATCCAGGCCAGACTAAGGGAAGGGCGCTGCAAGTGATGTGCAGTACATTGTAAGAGTGACCTCTAGTGCTTTCCTTTTTTGTTGAACTTCAGTAGTTGGAGGATAAATTATTTATGCCTTGTCTACAAAACTTTGTGTGTGCTTGTGTTGTTATTGTTCATTTGATTGATGCAATGTTTGTCACATGCCACCATTACAGCATTCCAAGATTTTGACTAGGCAGCAATATGCACATTTTACTAACTCATTGGATTCTTCTGACCCAAATTAAAATTGAATCTGAACCAGTGCAGCATCTGAGTGAAGTTCTCTTTCTTTCAGAATGATAGATACACCGTGCCGTTAAATGAGCTAACAGTAAATGCAAACACAACATCACGGTAGCCATGCAGTATAAATGAACATTTCACTTGTACCCAGTAAGGGTGTGTATAATGTTCTTCCCATATCAGAGCACTTCAGTGTACTCAAGGGATGTGCCATAGCAAACACCTTGTTACTACTGCCTTTATTTGTAACCATCCCAACCTGAACCTGGTTACACAGCAGCAAAATAAATCCCTGAACAGGCCTCATACTCCTTTCTTGAAAAGCAAATGAGCTTTTCCCTTTAAAATCCAGGTGAGATGAAAAGTTGGATTTTCAGAGCTTGTTTATCATTAATCAAAGAGGAAAAAAATTCTTCCAGTTAGACATTTTTTAGCCAAATACAACTTTTAAAACTTTTTCTATCTCTAGTAAAAAGTGGATTTAGCAAGTTTCTGCCAAATTATTTTGAGTAATATTTAAATTAGAAATATGATCTTTATAAATTTTCCTTGATTCAGAATCAGAGTATTCAATCGCAAATTTCTAAAGTCAAAAATTCAAATCACTAAAGAATACTATTTTGGAAAAATCACCAGAATGTTTTTCATTTAGCAAAATGCAGGACTCAAGCCCCCTCTTCCAGGAGTGCTCCAGCCTCGTCCTTTCAGCTGTAAGGGCACAGCTCCTAATGTTGAGGCTCACCTCCACCAAGTCTGCTCCTGAATCCTGCAGTGCATTCCAGTTATGAGCCTGGCATCCTTTTAAAGATGCAACCAGCAACCCGTCTGCCAAACTGCAAACTTCAGAAATCTCAGCTAATGCAGCATAATGGAAAGTCTGCCAGTTGTTTTCTTGTTAGACATAATTCCAATAAAATTCAGTAATCCTAAGAAAGGCAGAAATGGAGACATTCGCAGGCTATTCCCTGGTTAAGATGCTAATTTAACGTTGTTACTAGAACTTGAGCTTTCTCAATGAATATTCAAAAATGACAGGATACGGTTCTGCTCATAGACAAAAAGAGAAATGAGACTTGGCATATTTTGACCGGACCAAGAGGAAAGACAGGTGTAAACCCAGACATATTTGGAAAAGGTTTCGGTGATGCTTCATTTAGAGCAATATGCTTTGCAGTAATTTCAGTTGCAAATAATAATCATAGAAACAACAGAATGAAAGTTGGAAGAGAGCCCCCCTGCAAGTTTAAATCATTGGCTGTGTACTTACAGGAATTCCCAGCTCTGACCCTGTTCCAGTTTTGAGTCGATGACAGAAGTAGCACCGTGAGGACAGCTCCGGTGACTGACCCCATGCTCACATTTACCGGGCTCCCCACGAGAGATCCTGAGTGGCTCTCCCAGCGCTCCAGTCCTGTTCGCAGAACCTCTGCCAGTTCTGTCTTCAGCACCTCTGGGTCTCTCAGCCTCACTCCCTCCTTCCCTCCTTTCTCCAATCCTCTCTCTCTCTCTCTCTCTCTCTCCCTCTCTCCCTCGTGCACACACACACACACACACACCACAGCCCTGACTCCTCACTAAAAAGCACCAGCGTCGTTCCTAACAAGCATCCACGCTTCCGAGGCCACGCCCACTCGCAGCAGCGGTCCCACAAATTGACAGCAGCATCCCTCCTCCGAATTCACAGCGGCGCTCAGAGCTCCACCGTGCAGCGCTGCTGATGAAAGCTGGACCCGGAGGCGCGGCCTGCCGCTCCTGGGCTTCCTCGGGGCTCCCCCTCCCCTCTCCTCTCTTCTCCAATAAGCCTTAACCCCTTTTTTCCCCTGTGGAGACGTGGGTGGGGGAAGGGGCGAGGCGGCAGAGCCTCCCGATTTTCTGGAGGTCTTGCCTTTGGCAGAGCCAGTCAACTTACTGAGCTAATTCCGGAATATCCGGGAGGGCATCCAGGTAAAACTGCGTTATGTTTCATAACAAAGGCATAAAATAAGACAGAAATAACTCAGCGGCGTTGGTACGTTGTTGGTAAAACTGTCCTAAGGGAAAATACTTGCTGTTGTTTTTCTCTGTTGGTATAAAACTATCCTCTTTAGCGATGGTGCCAGGATTTTATTATGAAAACGCCTCACATGGAAACAGACATTCCTGTTTAGCAAAAATTTTAAATCATCTGATAATTGTCTGCAAGAAATTAACATTTCTTCTTTTAGTACATCAGGTGTACAAATCCACATATTAAATGCTGTGCATACATTTATCTTGATGAATGCATTAGGCTGTGAATTCAGTTGCATTCTACAATAAAATTCTTCAGTAACAATTCCCAAGAAACCCTAAATGAAAAATGATGGGATACTGAAGAAAGGAAACCACACACACATACACACATACTTACACCCAACCTAAACAATATACAGTTGTAATTCAAATGATCTAAAGGAGAAAAGTTCAATTCAGAAGATAAAGAACTACAGAAAAATTACTCTTCTAATAGGTGATCCATAGCTACTACTATTTCTTGAATAGAATATTAAAATATGTAAATAATGGACTTGATATCACATAATGATAAGTGTATCACATTGAGTCATGGGGAATAAATAATCTCTTTAAAATAAATGGCAAGATATTTAACCGAAAATGTACCAGATTTTGTAAGAACAGAAATACCAGAGTTCTCAAACACCTCTTGGTGATTACAAATGAGAAGAAACATAAGCCCTTCAGCGGCAGCAGCCTTGCTATGGAATGAATGAAATAAGGGGAAATGACAAAAGCAACCTCCTATATAACAAGTGTGTTTAGCTCTTCCCAACAAACAAAGCAGAAGAGATATTTGTGCTTTTCTGATTTTACAGATGAATAAACAAGACCAGAGAGAGTACTGACTTCAAGAGGTCGTAGAGCTAGTAAAGTGCTGAGAAATTGGACTTTGTTTTTCTGACTCTGATTTTACTGCTCTCACACTAGGACTTACTGCCTCCAAGTCACAGAACACCTCCTCCCTGCCCCCTGTGAGTGGGAGTGAACACCTCCTCCCTGCCCCCTGTGAGTGGGAGTGAAAACCTGAGGGCCTAGAAAAAAAACAACAGGGGGAAAGAGGGGCCATTGTTTAGTATTTACTCTGTAGTCCTAGGCCTACAACCCTGATTTTGCTTTTTGCAAACATAATTTGTAACAGGAATAAAAAGACGTAAATAGACAGTATCTGTTAATTATTGAAGGGGGTTACATTTTATTGAACACATGCAATATGTCATTTGTTATCTAATCAAATTATGGTAATCCCTGAGGGAAATGTCATTGTGCCTATCTAACAGAACAGTGAAGTTAAGAATGATGTTAAAGTGCTACAGTGAGTACACGAGACCCAGCTGGGCTTGGCGTCCTGGTTTACAAAGCTCTAAAATCATTACTTAAATTGACTCCACACTGAGCAACAGCATCTCGGGCTCTCTGGGACAAAAAAAAAGTTGTCCTATTAAAAAGTTATATTTAATTTTCTCCATAGAACAAATTAGAGAAAAAATTAAAAGGATCAGTACACATATCAAAAATGAAAAATAACTGAACCTTTCATGCCAATAATAACTTCTTTAGGACAAAGTGTAAATTATCATAGCAGCCATTAATAATGGATTTTTCCATATCAGTGGGCTATGGTAATAGAATGAGCTGGAAGCTGGCACTGGAAAGAAAACCAGAGCATTTCAGACCATGGCAACACCTGTCCCTGCCTGAGGGCCACAGAGGGGAGAGCTGCATGGGCAAAGTGACGCCCTGGGAAGAGCTTGGACACTGTGTGGAGATGCCTCGCTATAAATTCAGCTCTCACTGTGGTTCTAATTAAGTGCCTTAGTTACTCTATTCTTTCACTTCCTTCTCTTAAAAAAAAAAAAAAAAGATATCATGTGTGACAACCCCCAAAGAGGGCCTAGCACTTAGTAGATCCTCAATTGCTTACTAGCCTTAGCATCCAGACTAAAGAGAGTGGTGATTTGAGCAGGCAATGCTGGAAGCTGGCAGGCCTGGCTCAATGTCTGCTCCATTGCACCACCCACCAGCTGCATGCTCTTGGGCAAGCTGCTTATCATCCCAGATTCTGAGTTTCCTCCACTGCACCAGGGACAACTAGAGTATCAACCTCATGGCTGAGACAATGCCTGTAAAGTGACGGCCCCTCGAGTCACACATTCAATGTTGTTACTGTAACCATGATGATACCACAGCTCACTTTGCACAGATGAGAAATCTGAGGAGCAGAGGAATCACAACTCCCTGGAGTACACGACCCATTGGTGGCAGAAAAGGGTGGGTCATTAAGACAAACTGACTTCTCCCTTCCCACCATAGTGGTGCTTCGTGTCAGAAAAAAAAACAAAACAAAACGAGTCTGAATGGGAAAAATCAGAAAAGTGTGGAGACCTCATTTTGTACATTACTGTACTGCTGATTCAGACACCACGAATCACTTCTCCCTGTGTATGCACTTGTGGTTATACTTTCCACCGGTTAAGATAAAAACAACTGCTGGTGCTTAGGGTTTGGCATATGCGTATTATGGGCCATACCGTGTCTGAGAAAGCATTATAAATCAAATCAAAATGCTACCACTTGTAAAATACAGCTTTTCATTTTTCCTTGGTACAGCTTGCCAGAGAACTATGCACACCACCATAGTGGTACAGAGGCTCCTGGACTGTGGTTTAGATTGGAAAGGAACCATCAGGACATAGTGGAACGAAGTCACATCAAAAGACCAGACAGAGAATAAAACGCGACTCCTGTATTCATGTAACAATTGTTTTATCTGCTGCCTGCACCTGTGATCTGGTTTCTGGATTTCTTACAAAGACAGTTGGTCAATATAACTTTGTTTAGTATCCAGGAAAAGGAAATAGACGTCCTATTCTGGGCTTGTGCTAATAGTCACTACTCAAAATTGATTATTTTAAAAACTAAAATATACTTGAGGTGTGATATTGTCATTTATAAGAAATACATGTTTGGTCATTCAGATGACCAAACATATATTTCTCATATATATTTTGCCTTCCTTCATGATTCCTGGCTCACTAAAACTCCTGGAATTTTCACTGATAAGATCAGTTTTCTTTTGTTATGATAATGGAGTGATCTTTGAAAAGACCTTAGGGTAACCTAAGGGGAGGGTGGGGAAAGAGGGGTTATTGCCAGGCGAGCCAACAACTTGATTACACTATTGTTAATACAAGTCCTCCCAGCCTCTTATTCCCCTAACAACTCCTCCCCAGACCTCCTATCCCTGTGCAAACTCCAAGGAGAGGAGAGGCTGAAGACTGAGTTCAATTGCCAATGGCCAATGATTTACTCAATTATGACTGTAATAAAGCCTCCCTAAAAACCCCAAAGTATTGGGTTGGAAGAGCTTTCAGGCTGGTGAAGACTTTGGGGATCTGGGAGGAGAGGTGCCCCTGAAAAGAGTATCAAAGTTTTGCACCCTTTTGAGGCAGGAAAGTCAGAAGAGGGAACAAAGGCCTCAAGCTCTACCCGTCTCCCTTTCCATCTTGGCTGGAACAGAGCATACATGACATTCACTGACCACCTGTTATTCCACTTCCCCTCCCCAATTTCCTGTCATTGAGAGGCCCCGAAACAACTGCTATTTGGAGAGGAGGCACAAGAACGAACTGCATCAGCAGTAACCGCACAGGTGTCAGAAGCTGAAGACCATCCTATTCCCCCTCCACTTTCCCATATTTAATAAAAACCTTCCACCCAGACCTCAGTGGCACATCTGGTTCTCATAGATCACCCACTCTTACTTCTCAAGTACATGCGATCACTTTAAGAAATTTACTGGGCTCTGCTAAATGTTTCCTGTTCCGTGACAAGAACCTGGATTGGGTTGAGGCGTCCCCTGCCCTCCCCAGGGGCTGCAGGGCATTGCTTTCACTATGCCTTGCTTGCCCTGCGTGTCTCTTCCATCTTGCTATTCCTTATATATGAAATTGGTTACCTAGTAAGTAAAATGTTTCTCTGAGTTCTGTGAGCTGCTCTTGTCAATTACTCGTACCTGGAGAGGGTGTTGTGGGACCTCTGATTTACAGCCAGTCAGTCAGAAGCACTAACAACCTGGACTTGCCACTGGTGAAGTGGAAGGAGGCAGTCTTGTAGAACTGAGCCCTTCACCTGTGGAAAGTGATACTACCTCCCTGTAGAGAGCAGGAGAAATGAGTTGAATTCTCAGACACTTTGTTTGTGTCTGAGAAATAATTGCTTGTTAGTGTGGAGAAACCCACACACATTGAAATTAGTCTCAGAACACCTATCTATGAGACAGTAACATTTTTTGCAAAAAGCCCTATCCCAAATATATTTATATTAAATATGAACAATGTTTTTATGCTGTAACAAGTAAACGTACAAAAATATTAATTGTTGTCATTGAACTTTCATCAAGTTGCAATTTTATTAATGCTATTTGATTTTATTTTGTAATAAATTTTCATTTAAGTGACTTGACATTCTGAAACCTTAATGATCCTTACAGTCAGCCAGCCTGACAGATGACCCCATGCACAAATAGGCCAATCACAATCAAGACTCAGTTACAACAGGAGGGTTCCCATAAACCACACAAGAGACATTCCTGGAACACCAAGCTCAGGTGACCAAGGAGACTGTGCCACAAGATCCCACAGGACACCTACTGCAATAGGCCACCCTACCAAGCCTGGAAGTCCTAGCCACAGCAATCAGACAAGAAGAAGAAATAAAAGGCATTGAAATTGGAAATGAAGTAAGAGTGTC